TCACTGTTGATTATTCTTCACAATCTGCATTTATTAGATCAATCGAGTAATAGATTCATCAAGAAAATATCCCTCAGTAGTAACTTTAGTTAAAAGAAATAAGAAATACTTAATAGTGCTTCCATCCATCAGTATTGTAATAGGGGTCAGTACAGACGTAGTGTATGTGGTAAATAACACCAAGGAATTCACCCGACAGTGTTTGTTTCAGATGAGTCAGAGTGAAAGAAAGCAGAGAAAGTGTGTGTGGATGTTTTCAGACTGTGTGTGTGTGTGTGTGTGTGTGTGTGTGTGTGTGTAAACCAGTCACTCATTATACCGTTTGGACACAAACAAAGGTTATTGCCCCCGACTGTGCCCCGCCTCCACAGGTATGAGTGGAATTCTAATTGGGTGAGGAATGTGCGATGAGCCAATGGGAGAGCGGCGCTGCCTGGTTGGCCGGCGCGCTGTTTAGTCTGTCAGAGAGAGCGGTTGTTTGGCCTACATTAAAAAGGCCTGTGTGTGTCTGTGGCAGCGGCACGGACAAAGACCAGGCCAGTTTGACACTGGTTCAGATTTCAGAGACTGTGTTGAGTTTATATGGACATGTTCTAGCTAGACAAGAGGCGGTTGTCCTTACATCTCTGTCACATCTGGTTTAAGACTTTGAATTAAACAACAGGGCTTGAAATTGTCTGTAGGAAGTGGAATCTTAGTATTGTTAATCTATTTGATGTTTGAAGTAATCATTTTGTTGATTTTATACTGTATACTTTTCAAACAACACCGGGTCCAATTCTGGTTGTGTGTTTTTACAAATCTCCAAATCCCAACTGTTTACAAGGTTGGTATGAAGCACGCAGGGCGAAGAACGTGCAAAATGCAGGAAATAAATGGGTCAGGAAGCAGAAAACGGTTTGTTTTTGTTTGGAAATGAATGTGCTTTATTGTGGGAGAAACGGTCTAATGATGGAAAGAATCAGTGATTCAGCAGGATGAAGTTAATTTGCTTATGGAAGCAACACATGTCGCTTAAGTTCTGGTACCAGGTCGTCGGATTGAACACGGACTTGCACAAGAGCCAAAACGGGGCAGAGTTAGGACAGCAGGGGATCCGGGATACTCACAGGACAGCGACAGCGACGGAGAGAAATAGAACAGACAAAGACAGAAAAGTGAAAGAATGAGGAATAACTAAAAGGACAAAAAGAGAGGGAAAGGTCACGAAAAGACGGTAACGTGAGAGAGAGAGAGAGAGAGAGAGGAAAGTGGGGAATCCTACTTACTTAGGAGGCAGCATAAGCACTTCTAATCCGCTCACTTACTGAGCCGGCAGCATGTGCAGAAACATACACTCACCAAAGGACGCAAAATAAATGCAAAAACAAAAAGCCCAATGAGGCAGATACAGCACAGAAGTGGCTGATGTTGTTTTTTGATGTTGCTGTGACTATAAGCATTAAACCCAGTTTTTGTATTTGGTTGACATCGTGTGTGTGTGTGTGTGTACAGGGCCTGTTATTAAGTAGGTGTGATGTTTGCCCATGTGCCCGCTGTCCTCTGCTTTGTGTTTGGAGCTGAGCAGAGAGGACTGTTGGGCAGGAAATGACATCCTTGTAATCTCACATGGGTCACTTTACCTCACTTGTAAATCTGTGAGTGCACAGTTGAGTCTAGTCAGTCCCAGAAGGATCTTAGTATTAATCTGTTTTTGGCTCCATCTCTGATCACGCTCATTGATACTAATGAGCAGAGAGTTCACTGCGCCTCGGCATCGCCAAGAACCCGGCCATTATTTGTGATTTAAGAAGTTGTAATGATCTTCTAAGCTCCCGCAGTTTTATGGTTCCTGACGTCGCCCGGAGAATATCAAGTGCTCTCTTTGCATATGGTAAAGAGTAGAGCGAAATTACAAACCCTTGAAATGTTTTCAGGAGATGGTTGATTGGACTAGAAACATGTTGTGACTTCAGATTCCTAGAGGAGCTGCTAGCGTGGCACAGAAGCAGCTCAGCGTTTCATCATCTCTCCTGAACTGTTTTCTGCTTGTTCCCTCAAGATCGGATGAATAGACTTCGTCCCCCCGCTGGCTCTCTCCAGCTCTCAGTAAAAAAGGAAGAAAAAAAAAAACGAAAGAACATAAATGCCAAAAAAGAAAGCGGCAGTGGGGAAATGGAGAACCAGCTGAGCTGTAGCTGTGTGTGTCTCTACCAGCCGTGACCTTGGCAGAATGAGGAATTTCCTGAGACACGGAGAAAGGGCCTGTCAAACATTGAGTGCCACAGAAGAGCTGGTCAAGAGGTGGAAAAAGAGAGGTGGGGAGAAATTATTGGTGTCCTTTGTCTCTGGCAAGAGATTGGAGGGGGAGAGTGGTGGACAGTGACAGAGGAAGTCTCCCTCCGCTGCTTGTCTGAAAGAGGAGGCAGGGGCGAATTAGAAACTTGATTCACTCCCTCTCTAGCTGTGTTTCTTTCATTGTGTCTGTGCAGAAAAGATGAGGTCTGGGTCTGGAATGTGTGAGTCAGGAGGAGAAGGAGTGGAAGGGGTTGACGAGGAAGAGGGAAGGATATCCTGCAGCCATTCTCAACGGGTTAATCACAGGAAATAAACCCGGCTACGGCAGACACATCTACGCCACCGCACAGTCTCCACATCCTAAACCACTGGCTGACTGAATAACTTCCTAGATGGCTGTCTGGGCCAAACCAAACCATGCCAGATTTTAATTGGACCTCAAAGCCACGATAACGGCTCAGGTGGTGTAGCAAATCAGTTAGGACCACTTTGAATAGATCATGAGACGCTTTTGTTTCTTCGAGCCGAGACAACACCACCAGTCTTCATTCCTAAAATGTCTGCACTATAAGCCGACCGATGCTCAGTTAGATTGTATTTAGGGTTGCAGTTAACAGTTACTTTCATTAGCAATCAATCTGTAGATTTCATTCAGAAAAGGGTCCGAGGTGACATTCAAACAGTTTGCTTTATTTAACCATCAACAGTCCAAAACCCAAATGTATTTAAGATGGAGAAAAGCAGCTAACCATAACATTGGAGAATTTGGAACCAGCAAATTGAAAAAAGTGTTTTATGATGAATTGATTAGTCAGCTAGTTGTTTCAGCATTAATTGTAATACCTGAAACCCAGTTTAAAACTCTAAGTAGATGTGCACAGGAAAGAGATCCTTCAATAATTCAACCAGTGTAGGGGGTGATACTCCTCCCCCCTGCAGCCCGTCTCCCCTGTCGAACTGGATAAAGGTGACGTTCCACCTCGTTGGTCAGACGGGCTCCTTTATTTTGTGTGTCTTTTGAAATGGGGCCAAAGGTTTTTCACATTCCCGTACTTGTTTCTTGCCACCAAACACCATGACAATTTATTTAATGACCTGTCAGTCAATGTTAATGAAATGAAAGTTACCTGCTGTAGCTGGAGGGAGGGATCTAAATGGTAATCTAATACCTGCACACATGCTGGAGATCCCCCGGAGTACCTGGCCACTATAGACGATGAGGTGTTCACATGCTGCTCTACACGTGTGTTCTAATAATAAAGTTTACATAAAGGGGCAGAAGTCTGGCTTCTCCATTGGCAACAGCAGCTTGTCGCCTACACACGAACATTAATACTGAAGTTTGCATAGTTTGATATTTTAGAATTAGAGCGACTTCCAATATCTTCTAAGGCAAAACCCCTGAAAAACGGGTTTGTTTGTGTGTGTGTGTGAGGAAAATCCATTGTCTTTACACAATTGGTTTAAATTGCTGTTGTGATCTGGTGGCATTGGGGTAAGATGGAAGACGCTGACCAAGAAACCACAACGTCCTGTGTTTCTTAAAAAGACAGGTTTACCTCAAGATCAAATTGGACGTGTTTATACACATTCTTTGACCACAAAAGATTCCCAACAACGAGCTTAAAACTCTGACATTTAGAAGTGGACGTTGAGACCTGCAGTGTAAATATTAGTATTGTTTTCATGTCAATTACACCTCACGTTGCAGTCACATTTTGAGTGCCTTACATCAGCCTTGAATCCAAACATGCAGCTTGTTTTTGTTCAGTGCCCACACTGCCCTATAATCACCACTAACACTTGTGACTGGACATCATTGTGTTTCTAAAAACTGGTGTATTGTGGTTCAGTGGTGTTTGTTAGTGTTACAGCAGTGCTCGCTGCGCTGACCCAGAGTGACATATGCCAGCGCCCGCACCATATGGGCAAAGAAATAACAAGAAATTGTACACACACCCACACACACAATAAACTAAATACTCCTTTAAAAGTCTTGGTCAGTCTGATCTTTGCTCTCTGAATCCATAAAGATGATGTGGCAGAGACGGCATTCTGCCACTCGCACTGTGGGCGGCCTGTGAGTGTGTGTGTGTGTGTGTTGCAGTGATCCTCACACTAGCCTATACTTTACCGCTCTCTCTTGTCTGCATGTCGCATAAGTTTTCCTGCTCATTACCATCCGCTGGCATTCATATATTATCCTAACCAGCGTTCTTCCTCCTCACAGTTTTAATGTGCTCAAGCATATATTTATACCAGCCTACACACTGTAACATCATTTACATATTTGTGTGTGTGGCATTTTGTTCATAATGATTTTTATCTTTTACAGTATTATGTGCCAAGAACCTCGCAAAGAAAGACTTCTTTCGTAAGTACCTTTTTATTACTGTTTGCTCATTTTCTATGGTTCTTTTTTTTTCGTCAAGTTCGTGAGTATGGGTTTTTCATGAGTAGTTGTCAGTGGCGGATGTGTTTTTTCAATAAGGGTGCTTTGGTGTGTGTGTTGTTGTGTGTGTTGCGCCATCAAGAAAGCAGCGTTTGTAATACAATTATTGTGCCATTCGGGGGTGTTTTTGCCAGCTGCAGCGATCGACAGCCCCCCAAATACCCCCCAAAATCAGTTTGTCAGCGTTTATTTTG